AGGAGGGAGGGGGAGGGAGGGAGGGAAGGAGGGATGGGGGAGGTCCTGACCTGCTAGCGCCCAACTGCCCCTGCCTCCCCTGGCCACAGGCGGCCCTGAGGAGAGCAGGCCTCTTCTTGGGATGTTGATCCCGTTTTCTGTCTTGGGGAATTTATGTCCACATTTCCAGAGAGCGGCTTGCTCCCCAGTGAGTGGCCTGGGGTGTGCTCCATGTTGTGTGTCCCTAGAGAAAGGCGAAGCAGATCTGGCCACAACTTTAATCAACTGCCCTCCCCGCAGGGCTGTCACCAGCCTGACAGGTGGTGGGCTGGGCGGTGAGGAGCAGTGACCGGCAGAGCGATGCGGGTGCCAGCAAAGGCCTTCAGAGGCCGAGTGTGTAGTACCCCATGGGAGGGAAAAGCTGGGGCAGGAAAGTCTCCAAGGTCCAGAGTTGCCGGACGCTGCTCAGACCAGCACACAGCACAGCCACTGCAAGAGAGGAGCTGGCGTAAGCCCACACTCCAGGGACCCGGGCCACCCCGCTGCCCTCCTGCCTCGTCAGTGCAACGGCTTGGGTCTCTGTCCTCCGGGAAGGGCTTGCTGGAGCATGGGAAGCCAGGAGTCCTTAACCAACAGGCTGCCTCCTGAGCCAGGGCACCAAGGAAATGTGGCTTAGAGAAAGTCCCGGACCCCAGCACCCAGCACCCCAGCACCCCAGCAATAGGGCTGTGTCGCGGACAGCCTCATCCCACGCACAATTATCAACCACAGACTGGATGCATCCAGAAAGACGCCGTCTCTGTGTGGAACACAGCACACTTTCTGTTGCTGTAACTCCCTGATCCGCACGGGTAACCACTGTCACAGCACAAAGCTCAGGTTAAGTGTGACAAGAGCAGTCGAGTGACCCAGTCTGCAGGCGCACCTGCGGGTTCCGCCCCACTCGAGCTGTGGGTGTGGCTGTCTGCCGAAGCCCTGGCCCGTGCCGCACACTGAGGGCTGCCTGTGCCCTGCTGCCTGCCCGCAGACCCTGGGCTGTGTGCACGGCCCTGCGCGTGCATCTGGACAGCTTTCATGGTCTCCGATCCCTGCCATGCACAGAGCTCCAGGTGCGTGCACGCTCCGGTGTCCTGACCTCCCTGGAGCTTCCCGCTGCAGTTCTGCGGTGCACCAGTGTCTGCAGGCCTGCTCGACCAGGCCTCATCCAGATTAGCGGGCACATCTCCCTTCTGGGGCAGTGGAACAGGGCCATCACGAACAGCGCCGCCTCTCCTCTGCCCAGCAGCAGGCCAGGGCCAGTGCCAACTGCCTGGGACCCAGGGACGTCTCCCTGCGGCTGGTGACAGCCCCACTGTGCAGGTCACAGTCCAGGGCAAGCGCAGCAGCGTGCCCGCACCCGGCCTGTGCAGCTGCACACAGGGAGGACGCATCTACCTCACCCTCCTCCCCACCAGCAGGACTGTCCTTTCCCCAGTTCCTCCCACACCTCTGCTGAGACATCTGGTCCCAGGCGTGACAAATCGCACCCGCCAGCACCCTCCAGACTAACAAGTGTGTGCATCCTGGACATGGCCTGAAATGCAGCTATGGCTTCATCTTCAAGATAATAAGAAGAGTAATTAGACACTAAAAATGTTCAAAAGATGGCATGGTGGCAGTGTCCCTTCCTGACGCCTGTCACAGAATATGTGTGGCATTCACGTGGGAGTTCCCTCCACTTGGCACCCATACCCAAGGCCTTCAAAGCACCCTTACTCATCCAACCTGCAGCCACTGACCTCAGCCAGGGAGAGCTGAATGATACCAGTCTGATTCTGGTCCAAGAGCTTGAATAGTTCTGAAAGGCAGAGGAGAGCCGACTCAGGCCAGGCCATCCTGATGTGTGGAGCCCTCAGACCCGGACCCGTCTCCCCACATCCCTGGCCCCTCTGTTCTCCCATAGCCCCAGGGACTCAAAAGACTGGGTGAGGGGCTATGGTGTAGCCCAAGTGAAGCCCTAGGTTAGATCCCCATCTTGGGGAGAAAGAGCTGCTTCTGGATCCAGTGCTGGGGGCACGTGGGGCAGCTGACGCCCCTCTTCCCAGCTGCCCACAGAAATCTGCCCTGTGGCATTAGCTTCCCCAAAGCTTCGGTCAGCGTCTTGCCTTTTCAAGCAAGGGCGTGGGGAAGATACAGGTCTCTAGGTGCCTGGTCCTTTCCCCTTACCTCACCCGCCCCGGGGAGAAGGAGGCTTTCTAGTGATGTGCTGCTCTGAGACAGCAGGCCCCGTAGCCCACGCCCTCAGGATGGCCCCCCAAGGGCCCATGGCCTCCCCAGGCAGGCGCAGCCTGGCAGGAGTCTTTGTGGGGTGTACACGGGAGTGGACATCAGCAGCTGTCTGCGATGGTCTCTAGCCCCTCCCTCCCTGGGTCCTCAGGGTCTCCCCTGAGCCCAGGCCCAGCTACAAGCCCAGTGCAGGGAAGGGCTGGGTGTCCCTCGGGTCCTGCCCCTGCCTGCCTGCTCTTGAGGGGACAGGAGGGGACAGGAGGGGACAGGATGAGCCTAGAGAGGGACAGCTGGAGGAGAAGGCGCTCACTGAAGAGGGTCTCTAGGCGGACCACACAGGCCACGAAGCCGTCGAAGTCAAGGTGGAGCGTGCCGCCTGAACACCGAGAGGCAATCGTCTGCTGCACCTGGCTGTTGAGGGTGAACCCTAGGGATGAAAAGCGGGGTCACGGGGGCCTGGGGTCTGCATGCTGTCCAGGCCACTAACTCCTGCACCCCACCAGCCTTCTCCAGGTTCAGCCCAGCCTCAAAAGCAGAGGCCATGGGCTGCCTGTCCACCTGTCTGCCTGCCTGTCTGTCTGTCTGTCAGCCCTGTGCTCATCCCGGCTGTCATCTCCTCTTATCAGGTACTTTTCTCATTGCTGGGACAAAATCCAACCCCCAAAGTTAAAGGGGGACAGGTTTCTGTAGCTCACAGTGTGTAGAGGCCTTGGGCCATCACTGCTGGGCCCGAGGCAGGGTGGCACGTGGCCCAGGGCATCACAGTGGAGAACCAGTTCATGGCAAGCAGAAGACAGCAGGAGCATGCGAGCCGGGAGATGAGCCCTTCCGGTCTCCTACATCACCCCCGCACTCCCGGGGCGAGCCATGCCCAGCCAGCCAGTGGCCCTCAGGCCGAGCCAGGCACTGGGACTCAGTGCATGCTCTAGAGCCAGCCACCTCTGGAGAGACCCCACCTATGACCATGCCAAGCTTTGGGGGGACACTGAGACGCAGTCGTACGCCTGCCTATGGCAGGCTCTGTGGCGAGGAAGGGCCCTGGGCCAGGCATGTGGCCACCTGGAGGCCAACACTCCCACAGTGTCCCAATCTGGCCCTCTGGGGACAGCTGCTTCATGCGGATGGGCCCACGGCCAGCCTCACCTGCCTTCCTGAGGGCCGTCCTCATCTCATGGGCCTCCATGGTCCCCAGCTGGTTGTGAGCCACTTCCTGGTAGATCTCCTACAGCAGAGAGAGCAGCCGCTAGGACACAAGGCTCGACCCCGCCACCAGTGCCCTCCACACCCTGGCAAAGTTAGAAGAGACCACAGTGGCTGCTCCTGGAGGCTCTGGGCCAGAGGAGGAGCCTGGTCAGGGCCACGGCCCCTCTGCCCTTCACCCACTTCAGTGGCCCTCCTTGCTCTTTCTTCCTGAACCAGGATCCAGGTGGGTGGGGTGGTCCATGATCCAGGTGTGGTCAGACCAGGTCCAGAGTGGCCCGGGCGCAAATACCACAGGGCTAGGACTAAGGACCCAGGTCAGGGCCAGGGGAGACCGGGGAGAGAGGAGCCATACCAGATACTTCCAGATCTTCAGCCAGAGCGTCCTGAGCTCCGCGGGCCTCAGGGTGCCCGTGCCGGTGCTCTGGGCTTGTTAAGGCCAACACGACAAGCCCACACCCACTCGCTACGGCCTCTTTCTCTTGGAAGCTTGCGTGAGCCTCAAGGCTCTCGGAGTCCTCTGTGTAGCCACAGGCCCGAAGGGGAAAAGGCAAGCGCAAATTAAAAAACCAGATGCACAGGACACACACCATGCCTACCTCAGGGCCGGCCTGAAGTCCCCGCCAAGCCCAGGACCACCTAATGCAGAACACCCTCAGCAGTGACCCTGGGTGAGCCAGGGAACACTGCTGTACAATCTGTAAATTTCCTTCCGGACTTAAGATTCTGTGATTAGGCCCTCGAATGACAGTCGGCTGGACTGTCAGAATGTTTGCAGGAACACAGGAGGGATGGGATGGGTTCTCAGCCTCTGGTCTGCTCGTAGCCGCTGCATGCCCGAAAGGTGGGGACACACGTGAGATCCCCCACCCCCTGCTAGGCTCATGCTCGCGTCCCCACCTAGCCAGGGCTGGCCTGGGGCCCCAGGGTGGTGCTGGGAGGCATGGGGGGCCCGATGGGGTCCGTGGGCCCCTTCCACGCTCTCTCCTTCCTCGAGTGCCTGCAGGTGGTACTCTGCCCCGCCTCATTCTGCTCCTTTGACTTTGGGATCGGGATTTTCTCAGGGAGGAGAACGTAACATGGCCACTCTGGCCTCCTGTCAACCTGCCCTTGACTCCTGCTGGAGGCCGGGATGCTCAAAGGATACGTCCAGTAGGCTGACCATCTCCCGGCAAGTGTGGATGCTGAATCCATCGAACTTCATGTCGGTTCCTAAAGCAGTTAAACAGACAGCAGGTGGGAATCCGCTAGCCGCCGGGAACCGGCAAAGAAACAACCTCCAGAGCCAGACACGCTGCGTGCAGGGTGCGGGGCTGCGCATGCAGGGCGACAGGTGGGCAGCAGGCAGACACAGAGGCGCCCAGACACGATGCCCCCCTCCAGCCTCTCAACCCCGGGACTGAGCCCAGGCCTGGCCATCACTGCTTCTGAGCTCTAGCATGCTCCTCCAGGAAGCAGGATGGTGGCAAGCGTGCCAGTGAGTACCCGCTCCAGGTGCTGGGCAGGGCATGCACTAAGCGAAGGCAGGGCCAGCCCCGGACCAGGCTGTGGTCCATGCCGTGGGGGCTCAGTGCCCTCCTAACTCTGCCCAGCCTCTCAGCAAATTAGCCCTGCTTGGTCCCTATCACCCATTTATGCACAAGGACATGAGGCCCAGAGGGCACAAGCTTCACCCAAGGCCACACGACCAGCAGGGCAAGGCTGGGACACCAGCCCAGGCCAGCAGGCCCCAGGACCTGGGCTTTTGTCACTGCATGCCCACCCAGTGGCAGGGAGCCTGGCTAAGTCTCTGGCGCCTGACCCTTGCCTCCTCCTTCCTGCCTTCTACCTCATGCCTGGGAGCCCCTTGGGCCTTCTGGCAGCAGGAGCCAGGGGGACACAGAGGACAGAAAGTCACCAGGGGCTCACTTCAAACCTCAGCACTGTTTCCAGCACTCTACCAGGTGCCACTGCAGTGGGGGGAGGGCGCTGTCACCCAGCCAGTAGGAAGAGTGAGTCTGCTTTCCCTACCACCACTAGGGAAGCCACCCACTCCAGCTGCTCCACAGGGCAGGATGGAGGGCCAACCAAATAGCTCAGCATATTAAAGTGCCTGCAAGCAGGTGCAGGGGCCAGGGTTTATCCCCGGGCCTGCTGTGCTGGCCTCGCCCCTGGGGCTCAATACGACAGCAATTGAGACTAGGCGTGGTGGCGCACACCTGTAATCCCAGCTCATAGGAGACTGTAAACAGGTGGATCACTACAAGTCCCATCTAGTAGTGAGACCCCGAACACCCTTTCCCTAAAAAAAAAAAAAAAAAAAAAAAAAAAAAAAAGGCAGGAAGGGCAGCAGGAAGGCTGCAGAAGATAGGTGGTGTGGTGAGTGAGGGCAGGCCCAACCTCCTCCTTCTTCCCTGCACTGCAAGCAAGCGCAGACCTCTCCTGGCCTCCTGCGCTGCCCCTGAGCAGGTGTGGCTAACTCCCCAGCCCAGGATTGGCATACCACTGCCCCACATCCCAGGCGCGCTCCAGGTCAGATGCCAAGCCCCCCACGGCTCCCCGCCCCCTTCTGCCTGCCTCTCCCCAGGCCCAAGCTTGTCTCCCCCAGGGGCCCACAGATTTTCCAAGGAGCTTACGTGTGGAAAACGCCCCATTTAGAACCTTCTTGAGCTCGTTGGCACCAATCTCAGAATACTAGGGAGAGAAACCCAGGCACATATCATGCGGGGCCCTGATACAGCTCCTCCGTGCCTCACTGCAGCCAAGGGGTGCAGCCAGGGTCATGTTGCCCTGGGGAGCTTTCCCTCTGTTCCATGGGAGCTGCTGTCACTCAGGGACCCACTTCAGGCCGGAAGTGGGGACTGGGGCCAGCACCCCGGCACTGGGATGACACTGAGCCCCGAGGAAGCTTGTGCCTGGGCCCCCAGAGGGTAGGTCAGTCTCAGGTGGATGAGGAGTGAAGGGAAGATGGGAGCCCTGGGGGGAGACATTCTCTTCCAAGAGCCTTCATTAACCTCCAGAGAGGATTATGAGGCTTGCTACGACCTTTCACATCCTGGTGGGCTGGTACCAAAATGAGCCCTAGCCAGCACGACAGGAGAGCTTCTGTCCCTCGCAGGTGCTCTGATCCCCACCCCTCCCCACCGGCTGAGCGGGAGGGGGTGCAGAGGGCAACAGGGCCCAGGAGGCTCTATCCCTGAGCCCCGCTGGGTCCGCTGAGCTGCCCTCCAGGCTGGGCAAGTTCCTCCTCCAAGAAACCTTGACTGAGCCCCTGCACTGGCCCTCTGGGCTGGGGCTGACCCACCCTCTAGTTTCCATGGGAAAGGATTCCAGCAGGACCAAGATGAAATTTTCTCTTTTCTACAGTCAATAGGTGCAGCCAGGTAGGGACCATGACAGCTGTCCCCAGCAGCACAGGAGGAAGGGGCAGCCCGAATACACTGCCTTGGCTCTCCCTGGCCTGAGAGAAGGGCTGTGGGGCCTATGCCCTCTCACCTTTCCCGTGAGCTCCTCACATAGGCTCAGGAGCTCTGGGTCCCCGTGGCCACCTTCCGAAAGCTGTGGCTGTGGGTGGGGCAGTTATGTGGTTAGGATGGGCCAGGCAGCAAGGCAAGTCCACGCCACCCACCGGACTGGGACAACTGGATTCACTTGAGTAAACAGCTGGAGAGAGGAATTAGCCTGCACCCCGGGCCACCTGTGTCCCCTGCCACAGACCCCACTCAGCCCTCGGCAGCAGTGCACTGAGCCCGTGTTCAGGAAGAGCAGGGAGCCAGTGAGGGCCGACAGCAGGGAGGAACCCATGCCCCACCCCTGTGCCTCTCCATCCAGAATTCGGGCCAAGCTCTCCTCCTTCCATGCAGCCTCCCCAGTTGGGTCTCCTACACTTAACACCATGCCCCAGGTCTCCCAGGTTTCCTACGCTCCTAGCCCAGGACTCCAGGAGAGGTGTTGCAGGAGTAGGGGGCTGTTCCCCAGGACTTCTCTCTGCCGGACAGCAGCACCCCTTGCAAGGCAGGACCGGGACCAGGTGAGCTGTGCCTTGTCTCTGGGCTGGGCTGCCTTACAGAGCGTGGCCTGGGGAAGCGCCTAGGGCTCAAAAGCCCACTGCCCAGCACGGCAGTGTAACCCTAAAAAGCTCTCTCCCTTCTTGGATATGTTAAGGTCTGCAACAGCAACAGAGACCCAGTAGTTGCAGGGCCAGGGGCAGAGCTCTGTGGGAAACAAATGTGTACCTCATGTGGGACTCCAGCCACAACATCCCCAACTTCCCTGAAACAGAGGAGGAGATGAACCCAACCTGAGACGGCACGCAGCGGGAAACCCACAGGTGCTGTGCAGGAGCAGGAGCTTAACCAGAGCCTTGCCTTTCGCTGATCCCCCCTTCAGAAACCAGCAGCCCAGGGCGCAGGGGATCCCTGGCCATTCTGGGGAGCATTTGGTGCTGGGGTCCAACCCAGGACCTTCACACTGAGCTGTGCCCCAGTCCTTTTTTGTTTTTATCTTGAGACAGGGTCTCCTAAGTTGTTAAGCTGCCAGGACTGGGCTTGAACCTGCGACCCTCCCTCTGCACACAGTACGGGGGAGGCTGTTGTCTGGAACTGCGTGTGCTGCATGGTGTGCATGGTGGGTACTGCAGCATGCGTGTTGTGTGTGTGTGTGGTGGGTGCCGTGTGATGTGAGTAGTGTTGGGGTGTGTGTAATGGGTATGCTGTGGTGTATACAGTGTGTGCTGTGTGGTGTGTGTATTTGTGTGCAGAATAGGCAGTGTTCAGTGTGTGGAGTGTGTGTGGTGTGTGCACGCTGTGCTGCGTGGTGCATGTGTGGTGTGTGCATGGTGTGTGATGTGTACTACAGCGACATCTCCAGCACCCTCAGGACCCAAGCCCCTGATAGACGCCTGGCCACCGTCCAGCCTCAGTCTTGCTGGGGCGCCCCACGTGTCCCACAGAGCAAAGCAGCCTGATGGGACGCCAGGAAGGACGGGCCTGTGTCCCAGATGCATCTACCCCGGAGAGGGCAGAGCTGATCCCCGGACAGGACAGCCCTGTGCCTGTGCCCACCCCACCACCAGGGGAGAGCGACGCACAGGGCCCGGGCCTTCTTCTCAGAGAACACACGGAGACAGAAGTCGCCATCCTTGAAGGGCTCAAAGGTGGATGGCACCAGCAGGTACTCGCCGGGTGGCAGCTGCACACGGCCCCACACCTCCCACAGGTTGACATAGGCGCCTGAGCGTGCTGCCGGCTGGTGGCCGTGGAAGAAGTCTCGGCCCAAGTGTGTGTCTGTGTGGCTCGCCAGCTGCAAAGACATGGAGGGGTCAGCTCCTCCTTCAGCCCGGGAAACGAGGCCCAGAGCTCCGTTCACCTCCAGGCCCAGATGTGGCTGAGAACCAGGGGCCACGAGCCCTGTCCACTCTCCCCACGTGTCCATTGCTACAGCACTCGGGCACTGATCTTAGCCAACCTTAGCTGGGCACCCGGGCCAGGTCTTGGCCCTCTGATCACCTGGATGTCAGAGGCTGAGCCTGGGACCCCATGGGTGCAGCTTCTGTGGAGTAATCCCTCCTGATTCCCATAGGTATGGCTCTGACCCCCAGAGCACACTTAGGCCACAGAAGTCCGCTTTGGGCCTGGACTTCTGCAAATGCCACCGGGGGACCACTATCCTTCTGCCTCCCAGAAGCTGCAGGTGGCTGGGAGGGCACCAGCTCAGAAGGAGTAGGGTAGGGAGGCTGCCACAGCTAGGTCTCGATGGGGAGGGTGCTACCCACACCCACCCATGCTGTGGGGAGGCCGCCACTCTGCAACCTGGCTAATTAGAGCAGCAGCGGGCATGTGATACCAGGTCTCCGTGACCGTCCTGACCTGGACAGTGGGCAGAAGAGGCCCCACTGCAAGCCCCGTGTGACTGCAATCCAAATGCCACCCAGACACTGCCTGGGGCCCAGCCTGCAGGGCAGGAGCAGAATGGGGCTACCACCCCTGCCTGGCCCACAGGAACTCAGGTGCCCAGAAATCCCCTGCCCCCGGTAGGGGGACTCAGCACAACCAGCGAGGCCAGTGTCACGGGCATGTTGTCCCCGCCATTGCTGACGACACCTAGGAGAGGCCTCAGCAGGAGGAAGCAGTGGGGGATGCCCCAGAGGGTCTGAGTGGAGCAACTCGGAGAGGCAGAGCCAGCCCTCTCTGGGAGCCCTGCACAGGTGTGCACATGTCCCTGGCCCACACCTCGGATGGGAAGACTTGGTGACTCTCAGAAGGCATGGAGGAAGCAAGTACAGAGCCAGAAGCTGGCGAGCATGGCCAGAGACCTGCGTCCAACAGAGCAGGGCTCAGAGCCGGGCCCAAGAGTGCTGGCACTGCCGAGGCGCAGGGCACATGGGCCAGGCACTCTGTGCAGCCCTCCTGAGCTGGGAACGAGCTAGGAGCAGCGCCCCAGCCTCATTGCTCCCTCAGCAGTGAGCACACCTGACCATCGACTGGGGGAGATTGAGGCAGGCAGATCCACCGCTGCCTGGCAGTGGGCCTGAAAAGCACAGTGCTCGCCAAGGCTGCTCGGAAAAGGCGTCTCCAGGTCGTTGCTAAACCCCAAGTTCTGACTCCCTGGATCCTCCTGTATCCGAGCAGGGATGCAGCCCGGGAGGTACTACGTGTTCTGAAGACCACCCTGGTTGCAGCCAAGCAGGCAGAGTGTGGCTGGCCAGCACAGCCTGGGCCTTTGCCCTCCACCAGGGCAGTGGCTGCTGCGGTCCAGGATGGCCTCAAACACCCCAGGCCTGGATAGGATGGGGCACTTCGAGTCTCTAGGAATTAGGAAGACACAGTGGATGCTGCTCTGCCCACCCAGGGTCCAGATGCTCGTTTCCAGGGCCCCCATGGTAGGAGTCAGGGTGCCCTGCAAACCTCTGTCTAGACTGCACCCCTGAGTTTGAGGGCTGGTATCACCACTGTCCCCTCCCCACAGGGTGGTCGAGGCTTTCGGCGCTGCCAGGATAGGAAGCTGGTGGTGGGGTTGCCCATCCTGGGCCTTCTTACCACGGGGTCCCCGCTGCCATGCAGCACTCACGCACATACCTCCTTGGGGACCTGCAGGGCAGAAGACAAGAGCAGGTCCCCTGAGCCAGAGCCCGCATGCCACACACGCAGGCTGCCTGTGCCCAGGTGGGGGTCTGTACCCCAGCAGGAGTCCTGCCAGAGCTCAGCAGCTGGAGGCTTCCGAGTCCTGGAGACCAGCCCCAGTGTCATGGCATCAGACAGAGAACCCCCGGGACCACTGTCAGACACCTGCTATCTTTGGGTTTAAGCCGGTATCTCCCACACAGAGCCCCAGCCATCTGGAGAAGCCAAGGCCGGGAAGCTGCTCTCTGCTCCGGCTGACAGCCTTTCCCGCAGCAGAGGGACCTTCCCAGGACCTGGGCGCACCCTCGTCAGTAGCTCAGCTGCTGCGGGCCGAGCTCTGCATCTGCCCTGCACAGAGGGGCCGGGCAGGAGCAAGCGGGCCTAGCACAGGCAGAGAGCAGGCCCAGCTGCTGCCTGACAGGCCACAGGGGGGCGGCCAGCTGCGAGGGCTGCTGTCTGCACAGGAGGACGAAGGGGAGCACAGGGCTCCACAGGAGGGCGCCCTGCCTCAGGGTGCCCTGCCGCTGTCAGAGAGGGTTTCCACCTGCGTGACACTGGGTCTCAGACCGCTGAGGTCAGGGAGGAGACAAGGGGGTGAGAGTATAGCCCCTATGTTCCTGACACCCCAGATAGTCACTCCCTACACCCCAGATACTCTCCGTTGCTTCAGATGCTCCCTAGGTTCACTCCCAAATCTAATCTTTTTATTTATTTTTTCTTCTGTTTTGAACAGGGTCTTGCTGTGTACCCCCGGCCAGCCTTGAGCTCGAAGTGATCCTCCTGCCTCAGCCTCCTGAGTGCTGGGATTACAGGCCTGCCCCACGGGCTTCCACCTGACTTTAGACCTTCTGTTCACAGACAGCATACCCTAAACCCTAGGTCCCTGGCCACAAGAAGGACTGCAGATCCCAGACACTAAGTGTTTCACCAGCAGCTGTAGGTTGATGTGTAGGAAATGACATGCATCCCATGCTGCTCACGAGAGCGCAGGCACACCCCACGAAGCTGCCGTGAAAGTGTGCCCTGCCAACCAGCCATGCCCAAGCGCGACACTGCCTGCTGCCGCTGTGCTCTCTCCAGAGCCGCCGCCCTACGAGTAGCTGACCATCCACCCTTCCCCACTCTAAGCCCAGCTCAGCTTCCAAAGTCTTGATCCCTCTGCTCCCCATGAGGCTGAGGCCCCCAGGGCAGCTCATGGGCCTGGCAGAGGGACGGGCCCTGCCCCTGCTGAGCCTGCCCCGACTCCCAGTAGCTGTGAGCCCCAGAAGGCCGTATCCGCTTGCCCCACTTCCATCCTGCCTGCCACCCGGCAGAGGCTCCAGCACACCCTGGGGCTCCTGGGCTTCGTCCCTGAGCAGCCATCGGAGCTTGTGCTGCTCACACCCCAGGAGGGGCTGTGAGAGCCACGGGGCTGGGCTGGAGCGGATTCGTCCCCAGCCCTGTGGCCAGGGGCAGCTCTCACACCCACCCTACCTTATATGCCTACAGCTCTGGAACAAGATTGGATGGGCAGGTTGTGGCGACTGGCTACAACTCCTTCTATAGACCTTAATTTATGCTGAGATATTGGTTGGGCCTGTGGCCATTCCTGGTTCTCTGATTAGAATTATATTGTTCCCAAGAAATTCATTTTTAACAAAATTATAAAAAGAAAAGCCACTGGGAACCCCTCTAGAACTCATTATAGGGATCTTTCTCTGTATAAACAAGTGGATTCCAGTTTCTTGTCAACACCTAAAAAGTCTTTTATTTTTTCTTTTGAGATCAAGCCAGCCCAGGGTTTTTGCACTGAGCTGCAGCCCCAGTCCTTTCTTACTGTTTTGAGTCAGGGTCTGACCAAGTCAGAAAGTTGCCCAGGCTGGGGTCAAACTTATTATCTTCCTGCTTATTCCAGTGCTGAGCCAGGTGGACACGAGAAGCCCAAGCGGCATAGCTGGGTGCCTCAGCACACACAGCTGCTGAGGCTGAAATGGGTCTCTAACTGGGACCCAGTCTGGGGAGGGCTCTACCCTGAGAGCGCAGGAGAGCAGGCGCATTGGCTGAGCAGCGCTGAGCTGGAAAGGGCCCGCAGGGCGTGCAGACACCTGTACCTGGTAGACAGCAAAGCCAATGCTCAGCAGGCCCTGGCCAAGCCGCCGGCGCCGGCGCCGGTCCTTCTGCATCAGCCCCACCAACGCGGTGCAGCAGGGCTCTGCCATGCCTTCCTCCTGGTCCTCGTCTGCCTCATCCAGGTGGATTTTGAACTGCGGATTGGTCCAGTACGTGGCTGGAGTCGCCCAGGCAATGGTGGACCCCGTGGAGGTGAGGAGAGGAGCAAGGATGGAATAAGGAATAAAATCAAGTAGAAGCTTGATCACCCAGGGAAAGCAAGCTCTAGCCCGTGTGCCTACTCCACCTCTGCCCAGACCACTGAGCTGGGGAGCGTTTGCACCCCCTTGGTCCCCAGGACTGTACTGCTGCACCGAGAAGCCCTGGGAAGTCCAGCTGCAGGGGTTCTGCCCACAGGTGAGCAGCCGCTACACAGGTCCTCCCTCCCGAGGCCCCACCCTCGGGTCAAGGCTTGAATGAGTCCTCTGTCCACTGCCACCAGGGCCTGGGGGACAGTGCTGGCCCCACGGGGACCCCCACCCTCAAGACCAGTCACCTCGTGGACTGAGGAGCCACGCCTGGCAAGCCTTCTTGCCACACCTGCCTTTGCTTCAGAGATCGGGATAGAGGGGGCCACAAGCACAGAGGGGTCTGCAGGACACCTAAGGTCACAGAGCAACCCTGTGGCCGAGCCCAGCCACAGAACAGAATGAGGCCAGGGGACCCACCTGGCGCCAGCACTTCAGGAACACGGTGTCTGGGACAGGAGGGGCTGGGGTGCTGGGGTTTGTTTTGTTTCAAGCGGGTGGGGGTTTGTGTTATTTTCTCAAAATGAAGTAACACTGGCATTTGCAGGTGACAGGAGCCCCACTTTTTTTTTTTTTTTTTTAGCAGTGGAGTCGGTTATTCAATTCCACCTTCCCAGAGCCTCCGCTTCTAGATGGTTTATTTAGACACAAATGTAAGATTTTAGCACAGACACCAGGGAGACAGAAGCTGGGGTCTTCCAGGCCGGCACTGCTACGCGGGCCAGAACCACTCCCTCTGGTGCTGAGGGTGGCCTGGGCTCACGCACAAGCGCTTTCTGCAGGTGCCTAAGAGCCCGCCGATGGCGAGCAGAGTTTAATTTCTGCCAAATGCAACCCAACTACAATCCCTACGTGTTTTGTTGACGCCTTGACAGTCCCAGGGGACCAGCGGGCCATAAGAACAACGAACTCGGCGTGCCGAACACTGCGGTCTACCAAGGCCCCCACACGCTCCGCCACACCCAGGGCTCAAGGCCCGGAGGAGGGAGGGTGGGCAGCATCTCCGGTCTTAGCAGCCGGCACGGAAGCTGGGGCAGCAGGGGCAGCCCGGGCCCTCGGGGCTATCAAGCTAAGCAAGGAAGGATCCCCTTCCTGCGCCTGGACTCTGGTGTCTGCAGCAGGAAATGGGAGCCCCGGCTGGGTGGGGGTGGAGGGGCCTTGTCCAGCCCCTGGACTGTGCCCACATGAGCTCAGAGAGGACCCCACTTGTGTAGGGCCCTGAGGTGGAAGAAAGCCCCAGCCACACTCCTGCTCTGACAGAGTCAATCAACCAAATCAGCACAGTAGGCAGGCAGAGAAGCCGCAGGAGGAGAGCGTGTGTGGAGGGGTTCTGCTTTCCATGTGTCTCCAAGTTGTGGGCTGTTTCTGGGGTGCCCTCCTCAGGAGCTGCCTCGAGGAGCCACCTAGGAAGAGCCTGTCCAAGCACATATTAGTGGCCTTTCAGCACAGGAAGGCCGCCCACCCAAGTGAGATGGTGACCCACACACGTCCCGGCAGCCCCGCTGTCCCTGCCCCTCCACTTCTGACCGAGCACAGCTCTTCGGGGGAGGGCCCCTTTGGGATCCTTAGGGCACCACCCGCTAGATGGGGAGGAGAAGCCAGGGGACAGCAGGCCTGAGAGCAGGGCTCCGGGCGGGTGGCTAGGAAGAAGCAGGTCCCTCAGGGCCGGCAGGGTAGAAGCAGGTGATTGGAACCCACATCAGGCCCCAGGCAGCGTCACCCCAGGTCGCGGCCCAGGACAGCGGCCCCCACCACCTCACCAGGGTAGTTCTGGCAGCCGCCGGCGGTGGCGCCCCTTGCCCAGCGGCCTTGGAGCAGCAGCAGGCTCCACTGGTGAGCTTCCTCGCTGCTTAGGGAGTCCGGGGACAGGTTACAGATCTCCAGGCGGGAGAACTGCTCCAGGAAATCAGAGAAGGACATCCTGACAGGAGACAGGCGGCTGAGGCACAGGCCAGGGCCATCCAGCGTGCCACCCTCCCGGGAGGCCAGAGACCCTAGCCACCACCAGGCCCTCAGTCCTCACCAGAACTCGCCGTCCTCTGCCTTCCGGCCCAGCTCCTCCCGCCGCCGGGGGTCAATGCGGCTCCACTCCGGCGCACTGGGGAGGAGCACGTGGTGGGGACCAGGGCTTCACTGCAGCTGATGCCCCATCCCCGTGCCAGAGCAGGGGCCACTGAGGGCAGACAAGGACCTGGGCACCCACCGCCCCCAGCCTTGTCCTTCTGGGCCATGTTGACCGGTGCCTGTGCTGCAGGCCTCTGAGAGCGTGGGGCTTGGGGACAGGTCCACCCCCAGCCCACAGGAGTGCTGTGGGCCTGGCTTGGGCAACTTCCCAGACGGGATGTCACCCATGTGGCCTGCTGCTGCCAGCCACCACCTTATACTGTCCACTCCCAGAACTGGGATTTCCCAAAACACACGTGCTGTGTCTAAGCAACCAAGCAGAGCAGAGCTTGGTCTCTAAGCGACAGACCCTGCCCAGAATGCAGCCAGCACCCATGAGCCCCTACTCTGCGTGGGGGGGGGCGCAGCCCAAGCCCCAAGCCCACTGCCCACAGGGAGCCAAACAGTGCTGGAGACTTTAAATGTTCTGAGCTGGGATTGAACCCAGCGCCTTTACACTGAGCTACACCCCCAGCCCTTCTTAGTTTGGAGACAGTGTCTCACTAAGTTGCCAAACTACCCAGGCTAGTCTAGAATTTGAAATCCTCCTGCCTCAGCCTCTCTCTGCACTGGATTTCAAGTGCACACCACCAAACCTGGCTCTTAGGGCTTCTTTAACTCATGGTACTCAGATCTAATTTCAGAATGCACTTGTGACAAATAAGGATCAGAAGACATGTCATAGAACTCCACTCCCAGCCTAATATCCTACTTGGCTTTTTCAAATTTAAAGAGATTAAAACAGTAAAGGTCTAGCTTGACATTGGGCTGAGCTTTGGGGTTCCCCCAGGGTCACAGGTTCCACTAGTGGCTTGGAGCTGGTGAGGATGACACTGCGCAGCCCCAGCGCATGTGCTGGAGGGGAGCCAGGTTTTCTCTGCACTGCAAAGACAAGTGCAGGGAACTGCTGTCGGGGCATCTGCCCTCAGAACTGGCCCTGCCCGCAGTGACTGAGGCGGCTCATCTCTGACCAGGGGGCCCAATTCCATGTCCTCAGCAGTTCAGTCTCCTCCTCAGTCCAGGTCCAGCTTGGGGGAGGAACCAGGTCAGTGGCATGGGGAACTGGTGGATGTGACCTGTGGAGCCCCTTGGGGTGGCAGTGGGAAGCAGGCGAGCCCCGCGCACCTTGCAGAACCGACGGGACTGCCTGGCTCGCACAGCCCAGGGCAGAGGCCCAGGACCAAAGTCCTCAGCACTGAGGTCTCTGTTTCATGTCCCAGCCCACACATGTGCCACCCTCTCCGGGCAGAATCACAGCACAGCTGAGCCCACAGTGGCCGAGTCCCCTTCCTGTGTCTGGCATCAGCGTGGGGGCACCCACCTGTCGCTCCAGGCCCCCGTCCACTCCACCTCGCCCCATGGGTTCCGCAGTCGGATCAGCTGCTCCAGGTGGCCAAGGACCTCGACCTGTGGGTCACACACAGAGGCCTCACTGAGCTGGGCAGGGCCCTTCCAAGGCCCTGAGCAGCCCGCTTCAGTTTCCTTCTGTAATTTCTCTGAATACTGAGGAGTGAGTTGGGTGCAGAAACAGCAAGACCCCACTCCTCAGACACCACCGTGTGTAATCCTTGACTGAGGGTGGCTCTGCTCTGGGTTTTGTTCTGCTGTGCTTGTTTTTTGTGCTACTGGGGGTGGCATACAGTGGCCATCAAGCCATGGCACTGCCACTTTCTTTTTGATTTTGAGGCACAGCCTCTCTACGCTGCCCAGGCTGGGGTTGAACTTGCAGCCCCCTCCAAGCCTCCCTGGTGCTGGGGTTGCAGGCAGGCAGCACAGTGCCGCTGGGTGGGCTCTGACAGCACAAGGACGGCCACCAGGCCCTGCAAATCACAGTGGTGGCACCGCAGCTAGTGTGCTGCATGTGGCTGGACACCAGGCACGGGCCAAGCATGCCACATGAAGTGGCCTCATTCCCACCTCCCCAGAGCCCCGGACCCACTCATCTCCATGTCACAGCCCAGAAACCCAAGACTTCAGAGCTCAGACCCAAGAGACGGTCCAGTCAGTGCGTGGGGGGACGGATGGGTGCTCACGCGTGAGCCCACAGCCCAGCCACTCAGCATGGACTGCCCCCACACCCCTCAGGAATGTGCGCTGGACTCCAACCCTCCCTGAGGCCCCACCTGGAGGTGGAGTTTCGAGGGGCCATAGGGTCAAGGGAGCTCAGCGCCCTCACACCGGCCTGGCTGGGTCTGGGGGAGCAGTTACCAGGGGAGCCCAGCCCGCTGGCCCAGCTCTCTGGGCGTGCAGCTCACCTGCTGGCTGGCCCAACCCTGGGTCCAGGAACTAAATCAGTCCTCGCTTCCCAAACTACCCGATCTTGGGTTCTTAGTCCCAGAGAAAGGGGGCAGGACACTGGGTCACCCTGCTGTTCAGGGCACATGCTCCTCCACACACACGCATGCACACACACGTGTGCACATACACATGCACATATACACACATGCACACGTGCACACAATGAACTCTGATGTGTTGTCTGTACTGCCTTAATCCCCCATCCTTGCCTAGCCCAGTGTGCACACACAGACATATACACACACGCATGCACATTCCCATGCACGCACACACACGATGGACTCTGACCTGTTGTCTGCACTGTCTTAATGGCCCATCCTTCCCTAGCCCAGTGTGCACACACATTCGCCGCACATTTATGGCGCTGACCTGACAGGGCAACGCACTTGTGAGACAGAGGAACGCACAGTGAGCCTCCATCCAATCTTAATAAATCAAAGAACTGAGCCACATTGGCCACAGGAAACCCATGCAAGGTGATTTCTCAATTGTAGCCCTGTCTTTCGCCTACCTCTCCCCAGTTACATGGTCTGTGTCTTTTCTCTGAAAGCCCCTTAAATCCTTTCAAAGAGTAGACAGATATTAGACGCTCATGCACTCCGTGGGCTTAGAGGGCACGGACCCCGCCCCCCTTCGCATCAGGCCCCACCCCAAGCTGGAGTGGGGAACACTGCCTTTCTTCTCCTGGGGATCCCGTGGCTTCACCCCTTACCTACCACCCTCCAGGGATATGGACAGGCCATCGTTGGCCATCTCCACAGCTTTCCTGGCCATATCCCCAGTGGACACTTTCATGAAGTCAAAGCCCCAGACTAACACACAGAAGCCAAGTCACTTGGCTCCAGGGAGCAGCGTGGGGACCTGGCAGTGGGCAGGAGCCGCATGCACCCCTGCCATGCAGGCAGGGAGACAGCGACTGGCGCAGGGAAGCTTGAGGCCACCCCTTGACCTCTCAGAGTGCCTCCTCTGTCCTGCTCCCCCGGGGTGCCTGGGTATGTGAGGCCAGCCTCCTCGGCCCCTCCGCTTCTCAGCTGCTTTTACCTCTTCAGCTCCAGTGACAGAGTATGCATGGCTCTTGACCAGCCTCTGGCGGGTGATGGCTTCGGCTTCAGCCACGCTGGAGACCTGGGTTGAAGGCAATCAGCCAGGGTCCCCAACCCCCACCTCTTTGGGGTCAGCCCTGCCACACCTCACAGGACACAGCTGGGGCCCAGGCAAGCTGCCCTATGCAGCCACACACACCATCTCCACCTAACCCTCCTGGCCAGCAGGGAGGAGCCGCGTGGACACAGACCAAGAACCTCCCAGCCTGTCCCCCTCGACTCTTCCCACCATCTGGGGACACAGGGCGGCATTGCTCACTTCGATGGAGCAGCCCAGCAGAGACCCCTTGCGCAGGGCCTTCCGGATGAGGCGGTACAGATTGGCTGGTGGCTTCCGCAGGTCATAAAACTCCGAAATGCCACCAGTGAAGTCCTCAAACCCCTCCACTGTGGAGCCGCCAGCCAGAGCCTCATAGGAACCATTGAGCCTGATGGGAAAAGAAAGTGGCAGCTCCTGCAGCCACCAGCAGCCCTGCAAGGGGTCCCAGGCAGGGAGGGGACATGGGAGCACACAGGCTCTGCTGCCGGGGGGCCTGTGCTGATTTGATCGTGAGGGGCTGCTTCATATGGCCACTCCACACTTCTCCAGGATCGGACCCCGGACAGCCCCTGTCCAGTCACATACAGTGAGGACAGTACTTCCAGAGCTGACCCAACCACCTGGACTCCAAGCCAGCAGGCCCAGCAGGGGCATGAGGGGGACCTTGCTACAGCCTGAGAGCTGTCTGCTGAGCCCAAGAGAAGTCCTTGGCCCTGGGGAATGATGAGGAGACCATGGTGCTAGGAGTCCGAGGTTGTTCACTGCCTTCTCCCCCACAGTTCTGTTAGAAACTCACACTATGCTGAGAACTTGGCTGGGAGCAGTGCAGCCCCCACCACACGGGCACAGAGTTGGGGTTCTGGGCCCCTGCCGATGCCCACTGCCCTCTGTCACTGGGGGTGGCCTTTCTCTTCCCAATGGATGAGAAAAGCACCAGTGACACTGCTGTGGCCAGCACAGGAGTGTGGGGCGCGGGCACTCACTTGGCGTAGGCCTTCTCCAGCAGCGCACTCCAGAACTCTGTGCCCTCGGCCGAGTGCAGGAACAGCAGTCGCCCGTCCCTGGTGGGCAGCCTGTCGTCCACCACCACCTCCACCCACTCGCCGTACTGCCAGAACTGCGGGCAGGGAGGACACAGGCTGTCACCGAGGAGGCCAAGCCTTGGGGCTCTCTGGTGGGAACTGTTGCAGCAGCCTGACTCGGGGCACAGGGTCTGGGCCTCGCTTATCACAATGGCGGAGGCCTGGGAAGCTCCTGGACCTGTCCCTGAACTGTGGGCAGCGAACTTGCCCAGCGTCACCCAGAAGCACAGACCCTGGCCCAGGACAGTGGCCAGTGGTAGGTAGTGAGGGGTGGAGGTTACCAGGCAGCTGTGGGCAAGCGCGTATACCAGGGTCCTGGGAGGATTGCTCCACCAGGCTGAAGAAGACCTCAGGTGTGGAAAGTGGGGACAAAGGCCATGTGTGAGGCCCCATACCTGGAAATGGAAGATGCCTGCGTAGTTCTCCTGGAAGCTCTGGTCCGCCGGCACCACGCGGGACAGCAGCCTCTCATTCAGGGTCAGGGAGGCAATGGCCGCCAGGAGCCAGCAGTCCCCTGTGCAGTTGGGAAGAGCAGTCAGGACAGGCCACGGGCACCCCAAGCTCTCCAATGGGACCGTCCCCATGGCCGGGAGTCCATGTCTGTCTCTGCCTGTCCTTGCTGCAGTAGTAAAACTCCAGAGACTCAGCCACTTGTAGGGAACAGAAATCAATCTCTCACGGCTCTGGAGGCCAAGGATGGAGCCGGAGGCCCACCCCAGCGGCGTGGGGTGTGGTGGCTGTGCAGGCCCTATGTGGCGCCATGGCCGCATCCTCACCATCAGAACAGTGGAGGCCAGAGTGTACGCCCTGCTCTCCGGGCCCTCTTATAAGGGCTCATGCCACTCACGAGGAGGGCACCCTTCTTCCTCTCCGGAGGCCCTGCCTCCTGTGTCACCCTGCTCTTGGGCTCCAACAGGACTTTGCAGGGGACCCACACGTCACCTCACAGCCACGTCTAGCCTCCCTCCACCTCAGGCAGCATATTCTGCCCTTAGGGCTACGGGGCTGCTCACCCCAAGGGGAAGCTCTCTGCCACCGCACCCTGCCATCCCATACCTCCTGGCATCCACCGGCGACGTCACGCATGGAGCCTGACGTTGCTCACGTCAGGTATACTACATACTCAGTGTACGGCAGCCAGGGCAAAGAGTGCTCAGTAGCTCTAAGCAAGCAGAGCCCAAGAAGCTGGCTGGTCACACACAGGAACAGGTGGCCCAGCCACCACAGCTACTGTGACAGATAAGACTCGGCCACAAAGCCACATATAAGGGGCAGCCCAGGGCAGCTAATCAGACACAGCCCGTGCCACCTCCACTTGGGGATGAAAGAGCACAGCTGGCATGGTGGCCCCCGGAGAGGGGTCATCTGGGGTGAGCTGCCCATCCTCCGGAGAAGCCCCCAGTCCTCTCCACAGCCCACCCCTTCACACTGGCTCCCTGGCCAATAAATGTCCCCAAGACTCAGTAGGAACAGCCACCTCCAAACTACGGACACAGGAAGGGAATTCTGAGCCCAGGTGGGTATGACACCAGAGGGAAAGTGAGCCCAGTGTTAAGAACAGAAAGAAAAAAAAAAAGGTAGGGACTCCCTAGGCACCTGCAAGGGACCATCAGGTGAGATGAAGCCAGAGACTTCCTCCGACTCCCTTTGAGGGACACGGTGGCCAGGGTGTGCAGGGAGCCCTCCAGCAGTGTGGGTTTGTGAACACCAGCCAGATGCATGGCTGGATGGGAGCCAGGGCCTGGGCAGCCTTGGAAAGGGTAGACTTCATCAGCACCAGAGGGGTAGGTAGTAGAGGACCCACGTGACACAGCCCAGCAACTCCAGGGACACCGCACTGGCCCTGATGAGGGAGACTTTGTGTGCAGACCAGATGCCCACAAAGAAGCAGGAGCCCTGCTACCCTGACCTTGGCCACAAGGGACGCAGCAGACAAGGAGGGCAGAGGGAGTAACTCAGCAGGTGGCATCTCCTGGCTCTGTGGGGATTGCTGGGAGGAGAGGTCCTGCCCAAGATGGGCTATGTCGGAAGGGCAAGGGGAACTGCACTCCAGAGCACCTGCCCTGACCCAGAGCGAGGGAGCGCGCACTGACAGCCACGGGGCCCTCTCCCCACCGAGCAGAGCGGAGGACATCCCGCTGACCCATCCTCTGAGCGCCTGCGGAGGCCAACCTGCAACGAGTCCTGTCTCTCCAAGCTCAGCCTCCCGTGCACTGCCACAGCTGGGGTGGCCTTGGCTGGAGCCCGCAGCACCCATCTGCCCCCTTCAGGTGCCACCCAGTACCCTGCCAGATCTTCCTTTTCTGACCCACCCAGCACACGTGTGCCATGTGTGCTGCATTAACACACATGCACACGCACACACATGTGCGCATGCACACCCCCCAGGACGAAGGAGCCAGAAACCCCACACTCAGCCTGAGGTCGAACAGACTTCCTGACGCAGGAGCTGTGCCCCAAGCTAGCTCTGGTGCTGCCCTCGCGACAGCAGGGCAGTGATGTCCTCTGGGGCCTGGCTCAGCCTGGCCTCCTGCAGTCTCCTGGTCTTGTCCCCCACATTAGTGGCCCAACCCCAGGGAGAGAGACAAGGGAGACATTTCCTAGCCAGGGAATGGACACCAGCTCGCTGCGTCCCCTCAGCAGGGCGTCCTGGGCCTCCCTGCCCGGCCCCGGGGATGCCAGGCTCCAGCTCTGCATTCCTCTGGAGTCTCCAGGGCACTGGTTGGCTCTAAGGTCGTCATCACCTGCTCCTGAGAGCCACATGTGTCCCTGGTAGCCATGCTGTGCTGGCTGGCCGGCAATGTGGGGACAAGGAATGAGTGACCCAGATGAGTCCCTGCCCGATGCTCTCGATGTCTGGTCCTCTCATAGCCATTTTGTCACCCCGCCACCCCAACCCTCCTGGGGAAGCATGGCCCGGCTGGAGTGCACCCCGTGTCACCATCCCTCACCCTCACTGAGCGACAGCACCACCTGCAGACAGGACCCTCAGGAACTGGATGAGAGACATGGCCCGGGCTTGAGACCTTCTATCCTTGGGGGGTAGAGATGACACAGGTGTGGATACAGGCGCCACGCTCAGATCCTGGAGCCTGCGCACCTGCGCAGCCAGCTGGGCCTGGGACCCTCAGATTTTCCTCTATGCCATGGACTAGAAATGCTCTGCAGGAGGTGTGCGTACACCGACCACATCGCGCTGCAGGGCTCTGCCCAGTGACGGACAGCGGGG